CCATAACCACCAGTGATAGGACCCATGGGAATGGTGTTAAGCTGAGGCAGGGGAAGTTTAGGCTGGACATCAGGAGGGGGTTCTTCACCGCGAGGGTGGTCGCACACTGGAACAGGCTCCCCAGGGACATAGTCACTGCACCAAGGCTGTCTGAATTTAAGAAGAGATTGGACTGTGCGCTTAGGCACATGGTCTAATCTTTTGGGCAGACCTGTGCAGTGCCAGGAGTTGGACTTGATGATCCTTATGGGTCCCTTCCAACTCGGGATATTCTATGATTGTATGATTCTTTTTACAATACCTAGGTGTATCTTCAGTGTCCATCATGCTGATTATATTGCATTACAGAAGCTGAAGGAAAACTACTTTTCAGCTAGTCAAGTGTCATCAAATACATGTGGAACCTAAATGGACCTTATAATGTATGTGGAAAACACTCATCAACTCTGACCAGAATGAACAACGGTGTTGAAGTAAAAAAAGAGAAAATGCAGGAAAAAACAGGCTGAAAAGGACTGCCCAGGGAAGTGGCTGAGTCACCATCCCTGGAGGTCTTTAAAAGACATTTTCATGTGGAGCTTAGTGAGATGGTTTAGTGGAGGACTTGTTAGTGTTAGGTCAGAGGTTGGACTCGAAGATCTTGTGGTCTCTTCCAACCTAGAAATTCTGTGGATCTGTGATTCTGTGAAAAACCTTTAAGTAGGGATGTTTTGACTACATAATCTAAAGTTGCTGCATGAGTGCAAGAAGCAGGTTTAAATCACAGTTTCCATTATTTTTTTTTTTCTTCTTCCCCAAGATTAGCATTTTAAACTATCAGGAAGTGTGAAAGGGAGAAGGGGGGAAGGAATGACAAGATCACGGGGAACTGTTCTAAGCATTAGCTGCTGGGCTAATTAGCTGCTGCCATTAGTGTCAGTGGGACAGAAAAGGAGGTTCGGTGTCTGTGCTGTTGTTCTTGACCTCCTGGTGAGACACTGGGAAGAATTACAAGGGGTGACTTTAATTCCAAGCAGTAATCAGAGAACCAGGCATGTTCTGGGGGATTCAGCAGAGGGGAAACACCAGTCAGACTACTGAAAGGGACAGTAACCCTCAACCGTCCACTGCAAAACGGTGTTTCATGCTTTGCTGTGCTTCTGGTGGCTGTAGAGAATGATTGCAGGTTGTTTCATTTGTGAATGGTACATTGTCTACACAGCCAACACAAAGCGTTTCAGCTGGTGAATGAACTGAAAGAACAAAAGCCTCAGTGCACTAAAAGAATAATTGTTTCCTCTACTGCACTGCAGCTTCACCTCTTGGCAACAGTGCGTTTCCATTGCTCACTGGCTGCGGTTAGCGAGGTACAAAGGGCACTGCAGAACAATAACACTGTTCTGAGCACATGAAATCTTCCAGTCATCCCTTGGATTCTACTTTTCCAGTACCTATGACTGCCCATTTGCTTATCAGTCTCTCCAGAACATCGGAGCCCTATGATGATCCCATTTCTTACTCATGTTTTACTCATTTCCCAACATGGCTATTGCTGCTTTTCAAGTTAGTCTTCCTAACTCCCTGCTTTGAATTTGAGGTCATTCAGAGTGCAGTCAAGGATGGAAGTTAGTATACCATTAATGCACTGTGAGTACATGCAAGGACATAAAATGTTTTGGCTATTCAAAGAACAACACACCACATTTCAGGTTTTACTACACAAATTCCTTATTACTCGCATCGTTAGGCAGTAAATTTGGATGTGCACAGCACACAGATTGCCACATTCTATTCAAAGTTGCAAATGTGTGCCATTTTAGTAAATTCTAGCTTTGTATACCTTAAGTGAAGCAATGGCAATACAGCCATGGCACCATACAGCTCAGTTCAGAGCTGGTGCCTGAGAAGGGAATGGTTTGCAGACGGACTCCCACTCTTGCCTGTAATTATGTGAAAACACAAGATGGCTCAGGTATGCCTGTGTGAGTTTCGATCACAAATGCAAAATGCTGCACAGCAAAAGCCCCCATCATGTGTCAAACACAGGATGTAGGGTCCATGCCTATTCCTTCTGCTAGTTCAATTATTTGAACAAACACTTTGTGTTTTTCAAGTTGCATAATGATCCGGTGCTTGCTGTCTTAATGGAAAGTGCCTTTTATGTTCCTGCATTCTGCTCGTTAGCATTTAATGCAGGGGTAGAAAATGTTAAGTTGCCATCAAAATGCTGTCCTTAGCTTCCTAATCAGCCACTCATAGAAGGAAAAAACATAATCTTACTGCAGTGCCTTACCCTTTTTACCCAACTGAATGCACAATTTAGTAGTTTCTGAAAGTGCTCTGTATGTGGCAAAATTACTTGTTTGGGGCTTACCTATTTTTCAGGAGTGTGCAGGTATCTTCTGCTGCAGCCATCTTCCCTGCCATCTCCTGCCTGCACCTTCCTCATTATCCACTTCTTCATTACCCCTCTGTTACAAGCAGGATGCTCCGGCTACCTATCTAGTCTCTTTGCTCATTCCTAGAGAAAAAAAAGGGGCTCCTCTCCTGAGCTGCACTTAAAACCACAGCCTAAACCACCCTCACCTTTCAGTGACTATGTGCAACAAGTAGAGATGGGGAACCTTGCTGACAGAGCCACTGTCCATGGTTTTTAGACATAATGATGAGGTCTCAATATGGAAGTACTTTTCTAGACCAGTAGGCATAACTATAGCTTAAGTCATATTTAATCACTATTCCATACATTCCCTTGTTCACCTTACATCACCTCTAAATAAGATAAGGTCTCCACAGACCCACTAGGGTTCTCAACTCCTGTACATCATCCAGGAGCTCCTGTTACTGTCTTCTCAACTACCTTTGATAGCCATTACCTGCTGTTTCAAGGTAATGTAAAATGCTACAGTGCGTGTTAATATGCTATTCTAGTCTACATTAGCACCTACAGCACTTGGTAGTAAGTACTTCGCTTCGTTCTCCACTTGGTCTAGGAATCAGAGCAAAGAGTGAGTTCAGGAGAACACTATCTTCACCGGCAGCTCTTCTGATACAGCTCCACTGAACCCCTTTTACTGCACTTCAAAAATGACACATTTCAGGATCAAAGTTTAAGGATGACTTATAAAGCTTTACTGAGAGCGTGTGCAATGTTATGCTCTCCTCTTCCTTCTCACAAGAGTTACACAGAATCACAGAATGTCTGAGGCGGAAGGGACCTCCAGAGGTCATTTGGTGTAACCCCCTGCCCAGCAGGGTCAACTAAAACACACTGCCCAGGATTGGATCTAGACAGGTTTTGAATATCTCCAGGGAAGAAGACTCCACAGCCTCTCTATTCTAGTGCTCTGTCACCCTCACAGTAAAGAAGTGCCCCTCCTATTGAGCCAGCACCTCCTGTGCTTCAGTTTGTGCCCATTGCCTCTCATCCTGTCGCTGGGCACCACTGAAGAAGAGTCTGGCCCCATCCTCTTGACACCTTCCCTTCAGGTATTTATACACGTTGATGAGATCCCCTCTCAACCTCCTGTTCACCAGGTAAATTGGCACACCTCTCTCAGCCTGTCCCCGTATGACAGGTGCTTCAGTCCCCTCATCATCTTAGCCCTCTGCTGGGCTCACTCCAGAAGCTATATGTACTTCTTGTACTCCACATCTTCATCAAACATCAGTAATTTGCATGAGAAAAAGAGCTGAGAAAGCAAACCAGCTTTAATATTCTAAATGGGAAAACATTATTTTCTTCCTATCTTTGACAGTAAGAGAGATGAGGTATCAACCTCTCCAAAGACAAAACTCTGAAAAACAAGGAACTTATCCTGAGGCAAACACCTGCCTAAAGCAGTCATTTCAGAACAACTGACATTTGTCAGAGCTTAAAGATCCTGGTTTTGGATGCTTTTACTAGGGGCAAGTGTTGAGCCGCCCCATCATAGCCAACACTTATCTCTGGCTACGATCATTTCTAAAGCTTGCACACAACCTGATTCTGAACTATTGTGTTGCCAGCAGCTCCTAAGAAATGTGTTCTTTACTTAGCTGATAAAGTAGTAGCGTAGAGCAACTCTGCAGCTAGTAAGCCACAAATTTTCCATAAAAGTCACAAAAGGATAAGCGGAAAAAAAAAAAAAAAATCAAAGATGCATCCATTAAATATGTGTGTTTAGGACAAAATGAAAAGCTGTTGTAAAGAAATAATTTTAAGGATTGAATTACATGTGTTAAGTAGGAAGAGGCCTGTTTGCTTGAATTTCTTCAACCATAAAACGCTGTGAACAGGAAAGGCCTTTGTAATACAGTGCCTTCTTGTCAATAGTTTTTGGATTCTCAAGGCTTAAAAAAATTTCTTGGGTCATTTCACTGGTATTCCTAGTCACAGATAAACACAGAGATTACTAAGAATTAATCTGATAACTAGGACAGCTTTAGATGCACTGGAGATGTGCGAGTATCTACAAAAAACATTAGTTATGATAAAGTCCAATAAATGTTAAAAACCAGAATACAATTGCTTAATATAAAAAGTTATCAGGTGATTCTTTGTATATTTTGAACATGCATTTACCTGACACTCAAAATCTAAATCTCCTTAGCACCCTCCCTCCCCCCAGCTGTAGGAATGACGCCTTTGAAACCCAGAACTGATTTGCTTTGATGCTACATTTTGAGAAGTATCCACGTTTAAAGGTACAGGATCGGACTTGGGCTCTCTCCCAGATATCCTGCTTAGCTTAAAACTTGCATCTGAGCATATTGTGGTCACCATCACCATACAGTTCTGTACTCTTCTGAACCTGCATGGTTTACAGTGTTACTTATTTGGTGCAAAATAGAGAAAGCTATTTTCCCTGTCTGCAGATGAGAAATCAATTTTGTACAACATATTATTTGTGATGGTGATTTAGATTACGCATTTAGATTATACATAGGATAATAACTAAGATAACTAACAATCTTTTCTAAGTGCAGGGTGATTTAGATATACGAAACAAGTTTTTCAAGCAAAAATGACGACAAGTACATACCTTTCAGTGTGTTTTATTGCCAGCTAAGCTCAGTCTGATCACACACATTTTTAGAACAACAAAAAGTACTGCTGACAGACAACTCTCTCAAATGCAGTCAATATGAAGTCATGTAGTTGTCTGGTATAAACACACCCGTTAGGCACTATTAAAATAAGTTACTAAATCAGTAAAAGTTTGAAAAATTATAGAACAAACACTAATGGCAGGTATTTAAAAAGATAACCTAATAGTAAGTGTAATCTAATTTAGTTGTTTTCTTTAACCTTTAGAACATCAGGACATACAACTTCTGTACCTGCAGACTTCTAAGAAGCTAACCATTCACTCAGCTGATTTAACAACCTTGTATTAAATGTATCAACAACAGCACATGAGCCACTAGAATCTTTTTGACACAATTTTGAAAAAATGGAGAATGATTTATCTGAGAGCTAGATTCCTAAAGATGAATACATATATTTCACAGGGTAGTCAAGGTTCTCAGATCCCACATAGGTGCATCCTCAACAGATAGTCTGACATCACTACAATAATGATCCCAATCCCTGTCTTTATATATATTTCATCTTGACAATAAAAATATTGATAGATTATTTAAGGAATTTCAGGTTTAGAAAATAAAAGTTGAATGTAACTTAAACAAGATGTCATGCTTTATGTGAATATACCTATAACAACATCATAGGATTTGTTCAGACAGTAAGAACCAAAAATACCTCTGTAAACATATCCTATAATGTTCTTCATTCTTGTAAGAGTGATCTTATTGCTATTGCTAGATATGTAATTTTTTAAATTTCTTTAAGTAGGTCTATCAAACATAAACATGAAAAGCCTATTCAACTGCATGGTGTAAAATATACTCCCATGGAACTCGAATATACAACAGACACCTTTTTAACAGTTACATCAGCAGTGTCAGTACTGGTGTGACATTAGAATGTACTTATCATACTGGAGTTAGTTACATTACAATCACTAATACTGTACATGATGGTCCATTTGGAGGAAGAGGGTTGCCCACAAAGAGACAGGCTATCCAACGTAGAAGAGGAGAGTAGACGGCACTTCCCAAAGTTTTCCTGGCAGAAGTTCTTCCATGCTTTGCTGTTTGGTAGTAGGACACCAGGGACACTCTCCAGTTGCTACTGTACGAAGAGGATGCTGAAGGCCATCACCACACAGCACACAGCTACATATGGGCTCTTCCGTTCACCTTGGGGTGGGGAGAACAAAACAAAACAATCCAGGCATAACTAAATAGATCTAGGTGGCTCCTAGTCTAACATGGTAATTATCACACTGCATACGCAAAGTAACACTGAACACTTATAGCTGGAGAAATGCTGTTACAACTACAGTTGCGTATTGGGGAAGAAAACGCATGCGAATGGGAAAAGTAAGTTGTAGGACAGGATATATTGCCCCATATAAGGACAGAATTGGAAAGGACTTCTGTCTTATTAGTAACCATCTTTTCTGAGATGCTATTTCTGTGAAAACATTAAAGAAAAATACAATGTGTTGTTGCTATCCCTTACTGCCAGAGAGTCAAGAGGCAGGCACCAGAAGGCTAACCGAGACACCAGATCTTTTCCTGGCTTTGTTCTCGGTTCTGTCTTGAGAGCTAACACTGCTCAAAGGCTACTCCACGTCAGCTGAGAAGAGGTGTAACTCAATGCTGTCTGGCCATGATGGCTGCGTATGCAGCATGCATCTTCTACACGTAGTATCGTGTAGGAGCCAGCGAACTGGCTGGGGAACTTACAGCAGCAGACGTGGCCAGATGCTTGTTTTTTTTTTTGTCTTTGCTAGGGAGACATAACATTGCTAGCATGTGGAGAGGATCTGGTCCACAGATTTTCAGGTTAGTAATAAAAATGGTCAACAGACTGCACAAGGTGTACAAAGATCTCTATTTCTGATACTTTCAAATTAGCGTTATAGCTTTGCATGGCAAACCATTGACAAAAGGTAAGTTTGTCCCATTAACAGACTTATGTTTGGTAGCAAATGCAAGCAAAAGAGATCTGTTTTCACCTATTTTCATCCAGAACAAAATTGTTATGAATGTCTCTTGCTCACCAAATATGGTATGGAAAAGCAAACAAATAAAATCTTAGGTACGGAACCATAACATTGTCATGGGAACATCAGTAATATTAGACTGCTAATGATTTACAGGGACACTTCCCCCATTCAGACAGCCTGCTGTTTTTGCCCTTCTGCTTAGGCATCCCTCTTCATGAATCCATTGACTTTCCTCTGGAGACCAGGGAGCCTCCTACACTTGATGGTACTTCCAGCCTACAAAACTGTCAGAAGTGTTAACACCAGTGTCTCTTTACGATGAGCAAATTCCTGTTTTGATGTGTTCAGAAGCATACAGACAGAGTTGGAGCTGTTTGCTTTAAACAAAGTTCTATTTCCTCTTGCTGTGTAAGGTCTTTTATCTTGCTACAAACTTTTCTGAGATGTAATTTTCAGAGAATCGATAAAGAAAAAGAAAAAAAACATGCCAAGGCTCTCAAGTCCAGCATTATTAAGGTGTAATTCTTAGGAAAAGAGGCTCTTTCATTAGCCAGACCTTCAAATACAGCAGAAACAAACTTTCCATAGGAAAAGAAAAATAAAATACTTGTAGTGACACCTCCCATAAGCAGGGGTGACTGCCACAGTGACATTACAAGATGTTGTCATGATCTGGCATATATTTAATTAAACTTCAAATAACTGAATGAATTAATGTCTGCAGTTTCACATCTGTTTAAAATAAATTTTTGAGGAAGTCCAACTCCTACAGTTTAGAGTATTACAATTTTCATATGGGTTATACTTTCCTGCTCTTAATTTTCTTGAAAGAGAAATCACCATGTGGCAGGATTAAACATCATTTTGCACAACTTAGTAAATATGTAACCACTTGCTGATTATTAAAATCTTATGCACATGTGAAAAGGTTGTTTAAACATTCTGGGCAAGTTATACATAAAGTAAGACAGTGGGCATTTTCATTTTTAAAAGCCTACACTTTCCTCCAGGTCTTTTGTGACTAACTCAAATAAAATGGTGGCAATCACCTTCAAAGCACATTTTCCATACCGAGTGCATTGTAGTGTTATATAAGGAAATATATAGCAGGAATGTTAAGATGCTGCCTCATTTCTCAGCCTGGGAGAAAAAATAAAATTAGATCATTCCAAATATAAACTGAAAAGAAAATAGTGTTTTACATGAATAAGAGAAAAGAAAGCAGCTCGGTGTGGGGCACAAGAGAGCATGTATTACCTTGGATGCAGCAAATGTACTTTATTAAAGTTACTACATTATGAAAGAGGAAGATTAACTGCAGTTCTTAACTTTATCAAGTTGACAGGGACCTCGTAAATCCTCTTGTGTACTCTTTCAAATGCCTTTTAAAATTATTTGCTGTGCATGGCTAATAGAAAAAAAATGCTTGCACTTAAATAAGTAAAAAAGAAGACGGTAAGTAACATAACATGTATTCTCCAACCTTGAACAAACACTAATGCAGCTGAAATTTAGATTTATTTTTGCTAGTATAGCTCAGAATTCACTTCTAACAGCTGCCAAATTACTATTATCTTTCAATTACAATATTAGAATTGGTTCTGCCATGTCCATTATCTAACTAGGACAATACCATTTTAACAGCAGGTCTTCACGAAAGAATGCTTTTTGCATCAGTGCATTTTGACATGCTGAAACACACGCCACTTTCCTTCAAAGCCTGAGAATGAAGAAAGGGGAACCATACATCTTCCTCTAGGATCAATGACAAGTAGCAAAATCTCGATTTACAAGTCTAATGTTTCTGCTCTGTATTAACAATACCATTTGTAAAAGTGTTTTGATCATGCCTTTTTATTTTATCGTTTTAAGTCTTGTATATACCTCAATGCTAAGACTGAATTTGTGTTGCATATTCCCATTTCCATTTCAAAATAAATTCAGAATGATGGTGAAAATACATACAAATATCAATGCTATGGGAAAATGCCTAACACCAGACATAGCTGATCATCCTACACATAGATTCCACTTGAAACTAACAGCTTTGAGTAATTTAGAGGTACACAGAAACTTTCAAGAAGAGAGAAAAAGTCATAGCTCACATCCCCTATCTTTGCTGTATTTTACGGAGGTAAAATATACATTTTTTGAGTGTGGTTTTTACTATCACATTGGAATATTATTCTAATAAATAAGGCATGCTATAGAAAAAGCATTGGTTTTAAAGATTTCAAGGAAAAAAATTACCAATCCTGGCGCATTTCCAGAATATTCCCAATAGTCTGCAAAGATAAAAGAAATTGATTAGGCTCTTGATTTAATAGAATCTTTTAAGAAATAAACTCTGCCAATTGATTAATTTTCTTCCTTCCATGCTAAACCAATCCAAATAAACAGTTTATCAAGCTGATGCTGTTTTTGACATCAGAAAACACCAGATACCAGTGTGGGGTACAAGCTATGACCCATAAGCCATGAAGTTCTTTCTAAGCCCAGCAAGACTTCAGCATGCAAGAAAAACAAAGGTCCATTTACTCAGTCTGTGTTCCACCAGAATTCCACGTTCTACACTTCAGTAGCTCAGAGAAAATCATGAAAAAGAAGAAAAAAATAGAACTAGAAAACCAGAGCACAAATTGCCAACAGGCCTCCATGTTGCTGTATATGGATTTTTTTTTTTTATGCTAGTTTTTTTTCAATCAAATTTTCCTGCAGGTATAAGAGATGAGAAAACTATGTATTTTAAATGTAATGCTTTGTAGTATCTTTTATATTTCCCTTAGGAATTGCAGATAAAAATGCACTTTTCAGCAGAGCACACATAATCTGGTATTACAGAATACTTGCCTTGAAATAAATTACAAAACAATTCTTCAGGTTTGTTTTTACTTTTACCAAGGTTGACCTAGGTAAAGTCTCTCTAATCTTGCACACCCAGGATATTAATGCTCACAACTGGAACTAAAAAAGGACAAAACCAGGATTCAACTATTCAGAGTAGATCCGAAATGAAGTAAAAGCAAGTAGGCCACATATTTATATTCTCATTACACGGAGAAATTAATCTCATATTGACTACTCAAGAAGAATAAGAGAAGTGGAATGGAATGCTTTAGAATTTCTGAAGAAAGACGGAAATAAATACTGAAGCTTCCTGAATCAGAAGGCAGTTTTCAGTCTTTCAAAAATTGGTCAAACCTATGTTGAAATAGTGTCTACAGGAAGGTTTGCTTCATAGCATGACTGGTTGCAGTGCAGGAAGAACATCTGGATTTGACTATATCGACTACACAGATTTACGAACTAAAAAAAAGTAAAAAATCCTTAAGTGTTTCTTTTTTTCTCTTCTCCTGACATGTTTATTAGCAGTAACCTCAGTCTACATTATCTGCAGGCCTTCATCTACTACCTGCTGTGATAGTAGATCTCCAGGTGCTTTCCCACAGTACTCTGAAACCATCTCCACACTGGTCTGATTACTTGACTTCTCTCTCCCCTGTTCCTGGGCTTTGGCAACTATGTACTTTTTTCCTATTTAAATGCAGATAGGTAGGTTTGGACCACTTGCCCATGCCTACTGCCGAAGTCACCATATCCTACCTTTTTTTTTTTCCTTTAGAATTTGTGTTACTTCATATTTGTACCTGGAGCTCTTTTATCTTTGTTTACTTCTGTATCTCTCTCTCTTTCCATTTAGCAGCCTCCTGTTTATTTCTTAAATAAAAGCCTGGGGTTGAGCAGGTCAGAATCATGAGTTCTAAGAGGCTGCAAGTGACTGTAGTTCTCAAAGTGAAAGTGAAATGCTTTTTGACCAGTGTCTCTCTTGTTGACCAATTTCTTGCTAACAGCACTCCAAGCATTTGCATTAGAAATAAAATAAAATATTTTTTTCATTTGTTTTAGATCTTTTTACCTCAAGCCAGAAGTACTTCTATATTGTGAAAGCTCATTCTTCTGCTTTTGTGTAATTCCACAAGCAGAAGTAATAATTCCTGCATGTAGACCATCACACACTTTTCCAGGCTAAGAGGTCATACAGTAAAATAACCTGAAGACATCTATGCCGTTTAAGAAGAGACATGCAGGAAATGGCACTTGTGTAAATCCTTCAGAGCAAAAAATACAGCCTCAGAGTCCTGTGTGAATGGCACTCAAGAGTATTGAAATTGTTGTTATTCTCTGTAAAATGAAGATTTACAGATCGCATGCAGCAAAACCATTGCAAAAACTTCCACAGCCTGGCACCTCATGTTCACATCTCTCAAGACTATGCCTGGGAACTCAAAGAAAGAAAACATTATTGTCCTTTTCTTATGCATACTTGCAAAATTTTAGCCAGGAAGAAAAGTTATTTTTTTTCAGGCAGTCTACAAATCTGTTGTTTGTATGACAATCTCGGCAAGGATTTTTCTTTGCCTTTTCAGTTTTTTGACCATGTACGACAACATAAATTTATAACTGACTTCAAAACAGAATATGGGTTTCATCAGCTGCCCTTACTGCAGTTGACAATTTTTGAACTTAAATTCACCACTGAGATGAAATCTAACAAGCCTACCAACAGAAAACTCAAGCACATTTTTGAGATGCTTGTGCTCCTATTGGAACATCCCAGTAGATCTGTTTGTCCATATGGTTTGAGGCAGAGCAATAGCAAATTGAGATGTGGAGTTTCCACAGCTGTAAACACAACCTCTGGATACATTGAGGAGCTCACGTTAGTAGAAAAGTTTCTTCAGGACTTCTGCCCTCCTGTATTTATATATTACTTTTCACCTCAGGTCCTCAACCAGTACCTCTTCAAGTCAAAACCTCTACAGAAATGATGTTTCTTTGAATGAATCTCTTCAAAATAAATTCTTCCTTAAGTAATTATTCAAAGCAATTGCATTGCTCCTTATTCTCCCCTTCGTGGAGAGAAAAACTCATTCTCATTTTGATGCACATGAGACATGTCAGCCTGGCTTGCAAACGTGCAATTTTCCAGCAGCCACACATCAAATATATGCACAAGCTGCTGCACATTCCTCACTGCCAGTGTTAATCTTAAAAGCAACAATCATGAAGGAGGTGTTTGCTATCCGGGGAGAAAAAAAAAAAAAGCTAAAAAAAAAATCAAAGAAATTGAACCAGAAAGACAAAAAAGGGTTAGCCACACCTCACTCTTCTAGACTGAGAATGCTGCAAAACGCCGCTGCCCTGTGTCTACTAGGACAATCCTACTGCAATTGCAGTTAAGGAATGTGAGATACACTCCACTGCAATGCTTATGGCAAGTCAACCTCCACTATATAAGCTAACATGTCTTCCTGGTTAGCCAGGAGAACAGAACTATGTTGTGGTGCACGTTCTCCCCTAAGTTAGTATGAAACAGTACATCTCCACTTACTTTCCCAACCTTACAAGCTACTGCTGCAGACAAAGCACATGGAAACACTCATGATGCTTCAGGGAAAATGAAGGTTTAAAATCCTGTTTGGCTTGGTAGAAAAACACACATTTTGGCAGAAGTCATTGGGATGAAATACAATGTTATGAGGACGGGTGACATCACTCTGCAGTGCCCTCTCTCAACCAACAGAAACGTGTTTCTTTACTTACTAGGTCAACAGACCTAAATCTTCAACAAATTTACACAACATATTATTATATGTAACAAAATACAGCTGGTACCTACTAACATTTCTTCTCTGTGTTGCTTTAGAATTTTATTGCTGCTTTTTTATGCTATTAATTTGAAGCAGGAATAATGAGTTAAGATCATCTCTGTGGTAAAAAGAAGTATCAGTAAAAATTTTATCCAGCGTGTCTAGACGTTTCCATTTGAGCACGGAATATGTCAGCAAAGAGGGAGAGGGGTTTAACAGCATATGATCTCCATGTAAACATCTACCATTCAGGAAACAAATTTCATTGCTTCCAGGCCAACGTTTTATTCTCCAGTACAAAGCAGTCTACATACGTATATATGAAACAAAAATAAAATAGTATGTCCAACATTTATATAAATACAAACCTACGGATCAAACGCACAACTCCTCCACTGTGTCAGCACCCTTTGAAAACATTTTATGAAGAGACTTCTATTGTGCTCAAGACAGATTTGCCTCAAGAATAAACAGAGTAGCTCCAGATTAAAGGATATATTCCTTGCCAAGAACAGCACTAAAATTTTAATCAGTAAAATAAATATTCTTGCTTCTTACTATGTATACCTCATTGACTATTGTGTTATCTTCCATTAGCAGACACTCAACCCACCACCAAAAAATAGTCCTTCATGAAGTCATCCCTTCGTTCCATCTTTACTAGTATCAAAAGAAATCTCACATGTCAGTGGTAACCTTATGGTCTCCTATGAAAGGAGACAAACATTTTCATGTTAGAACTCCCAACCAAAAAAAGCTATTGTACTCTGGGTAGCTTACATCACTAAAAGAAATCTTGTGTGATAAAATGGAAATTCCAGAAGTTAATTACAATGAGGGTTTTCAGAAGACAAACCCTCTGAGATTCTTGGTAGGAAGGGTCTACTCAAAACTTGGCACTTTTTCAGAAAATTAAATCCCTAATTGATAGAAGATAATTAGGCAAAAAAAACATTTTCTTTAACAGAAAATGATCTAATGGAAAAAGTGGACAAGTTGAACACCCAGAGATGAAAATTTTGCCTGTTCTTTCCAGTTAGAACATTACCAGCTAGAATTACTTACTGTTTCAATAAATACTATCTCCTTTCTAATAACCTTAGGCAATGGTATTTCTGAAGTAGTAAGGGTGGCCTCAGTGGTTTCTACGTCAAAATTACCCAATCACTACTTCAAAACCATAGTTTTTAAATCACGGTTCTGCACACTGCTCTGTGCATCCAACACCCCATCATATTCTTTGTACTACAAAGGGAATTGGTAAGCCAAAAGGTGAATGTGTTTTAAAAGCATAAGCAAGGCACAGACTTGGCTATCCCCATTTCCCACCACACCCCAAAATCAGTCTGAGCAAGGTAGAGAACCGATTTATAGCAGTAACATCAAGTACATTCCAAGAGAACTGCGAACACAAGACAGGAGAAGGTTGGTCACCCAGGAAAATGTACTTCAGGAATAAAAGTGAGATGTAATCACAGCAACCAAAGGGCACATGGGAGAAAAAAAAAATAAGCAATGTTAATGCTTTAATTCACAGCTTTAAGAATCAAAAATAAACACATCCTTATAGCAACAGCTAGATGTAGAAAAATGCTTCCTGCCTCTTATTTCCGTACCATTAACCAGCATCTAAAGAGAAAACTGCAAGCCCAAAAAATAACTAAAAAACAACAATAGCTGGCTTTGTAAGTTAATAATTCCTTACTATAAAATTTCAACATTCTATTGTAGGAAAGTAGAAAATTACGATCTTTGTTCTTATCTTTATTAAAGACAATCTACAGCTTTTTTATCTTTAAAGATAAGAAAAAAAAACCTGTCAAAATAGTATTTATATTATCACAAACCATCAGAAGATACTAAGAATAAAACAAAAAAAACAATCTGTGAATTTTTCAAATGATCAAACTACATACCCAGTTTTGTTTTTGTCCAGTAAGCTGGGAGCCAAGGATCTGATATAGGCACAGGTACATATGAGCAGCAAGATTACAGTCAGCAGACTCTGAAAGTTGAAGATGGCAGACTATGGAAGAAAATGAGAAAAGAAAGATTACAACTTCACAGTACAAACTTCCCTTGCTGTGTAAGCTGGAGAAAGTAAGTGATCCTTCCTATGATGCACAACAAAAAAATATATAATCTATGTTGCCAGTGAGCTAAAATCACTGTTAGCAGCCATTATTCTGCATGCAATGGTGAAAGAACGGAATTTTCCCTTCCCAATTCATCCCAAAAAGGGTGAAGAAATAACAGGCAAAACGGTAACCTTACAGCTTTGCTCCCAGGCAGCTGTTCCAAAGCCAGTTTCTGGAAACCCATTAGCAGCAGGCTAAGAGTTACAGAAAACAGACGTTCCCCCTCAGCCAAGAATAAGCGTAACTGCGGTTTGCGTCGAGTACTATGGTGGTAGTGAAGGTGGAGGTAAAGAGTATTTGACAACTAAATCAGTAGCAGCCAAAACACAGTAAAACAAGAAATATGCAGGGGAATTGTTAATATACTACTTTATGAAGACTACCCCCGAAGCTCAACATTTGTAGAAATACACAACTAGACCCACCTGAACTACAAAAACACAACAGATTAATTTCACTTCAAAATCAATTTTTGATTTTAAATTTAAAAATATATTCGGTATAAATACATTTTGTAGAAGTGCTAATTATATGGAAAATGCTAGACAAATAGAGAAAATAGTTTAGAACTAAAGATCGATTGCTTTCTAGTGAACGTAAAATGCTTACTGGCAATAAGAAGCAGTTATTGAGAAACTAGTAAATAAGCAAATATTTTAGTAAAGTTTAAAATATCAGGAAATTCTCACCAGGATCTTTTTAAAACTAAAGTCTGAATCTTGTGAGGCCAAATGTTTTTTAGTCACCAGATTATAAGCAACTTTCATCGTTTAAGTGACACATATATAGGGAGAGTAGGTGCTCATGTAAGGACTGCTGCATCTCCAAAACGGTGCAACATCTGGAAGAAAGCTTGTTGATGCTGATTTCCAGCAAGTGCTACATCGCCGTTCCAATGAATAATATACTAGCAACCTTATTATTATTGTTTGTTTGTTTGCAGTAGGTTCCCTGGAATTTTTGGAAGAAATACTGGGTGACTAGTCCTTGTGATTTATATTTTCTAATAACTAGCCCCAAATCTGAGGCTTAGACTTCTGTTACAATCTTCTGTTAAAATAATGCAGTGCATGAATCTAAGGCTTTTTTTTTTTTTTTTAATTTTTACTTTAAAGTTAGCATGTCTTAGCTGACATTTTGGTCAACTTAACAGCACCAGGTAGTGTAACAGATGATTGCTTACTGCAGACAGACATGCTTCTGCTTTGTTCCACTACCCTCCTTTCCATATCCTATTTATTTTGAACTACAAAAAGTAGAAAAACAAATAGAATGAATTCACTCTTCATCCTAGATTTTTGTGTTACGGATGAATTCATGTCTAAATACATCATAGTTTTTCCTACTGCTTAACCCAGAAGGCCAAGTAGTAGTATTTAATTAAGTGTAAATACTTTGCACTTATGGAGGGATATTACATTGCCGTTTCCTTCTTCAGGCAGAGAACTGTGTGGGATTTGTTAAGAGCACATCAGAGCTCCCATTTCCCTATCCTGAGGCACAGCTCTCTTGATCTGGGTGCACCTTTTTCCTATGTCACAATATTCTGATGTTCTGAAGCTCTGAGAATCAAATTTCACTAAATCAATAAGAAAAAAAATATCACAATATTCCAGTTCACAATTGCACTTTGATACTAAGAAGATCTTAGAGAGGACTTCTACTACCCTTTTTGTACTGAGATCTAGAGCCTTGATAATTTAAAAAAAAAAATCCTTAGCTTATGTAGAAGACTCTGTGAATCACATGAAGCAGTACTAAAACATGCATCACACTGCCAGCCTAGATCAATGCACAGAAATTAACACAGATGTCCCAGCTAACAGGGTCCAGCAGGCCACTCTTGGTTGGAGAACTATACATTAAGGAGAAACAGCATGGGGAGGCTCAAAGAGCGACTGAACAGCTCTGCTGGAGCTGCAGCCTGAACAAGAAGCTCAGCATCCTGACGTGGCATGCCCCCAAGGGAGGGTTATCTGGCTTGTACTGGGTGCACTCTTCTCAGTCTGCCCTCAGCTCTGTCTGAAGCAGGAGCCACCTTACAGCAGCTGCTTTTGCAAAGGAGCAGAACTCTCAAGCCAGCACCCACAGTCCTCATGTCCTGACTACAAAAGACTGGGAAACAAAAAGAAAAAAACAAAAAAAAAAGAGAGAAAAAAAAAAAACCATGGGTTGAAAAGGTGATTATTAGGATGTACAGAGATACGGTGGATGGTGGAGAAAGGTAGAGGGTAAGTGGCAACTGCACACAGAAGGAAGAAGGAAGGTTTCTGTAACGAGGGAGAAGAAGGACAGGGGATGTGACTCCAGCTGAGCAGTGATCCAGTACCCAAGGCCAGCCCACTGGTCCCCAAGCTGAGGCCAGCTGCTCTTCTCCCTAGTAAAGGCAGTAGCTAAATCGGGTTCAGGTTAGTATTTTCGCTGGGCTAGCTGAGCCACCTTTTAACCTACAGTGCTCTACGTAAAGGACGTGTTACTTTCAATGCGCAAAAGAGGTGCTCACCACCACCACCACATCTTGCCCTGCTACTGTCCAAAACCTTTCCCAGCTTCAGGCAGCGGGCAACTCTCCACTCCGGAGCAGAGGTGACTCAAAGCCTACACGAGGCGGCATTCCCTGACTCCTGCGGGTCTAGGAACACATCAGGGCTGGGTCTGAGAGCGGCTGCCTCAGCAAGGCGCGATATAGATGTACGTACCCCTCTGAGCAGAGTAATTCCGCCAGTCCCCCGGGACAGACAGCTGCTCCCGGCATCACAGGGCACAGCGCCTGCCAGCACCCCGTTCCCATGAATTCCTGCAGGCTTCCTGCTGCAGCTGCTGCCCCAACAGCCTGGCGCATGGGGCACGCAGACGCAGGGAAAGGGCAGGAGGCAACACGGCCCCATTTGCTGCGCACCGAGCGGGGAATGTAAACGTATACTCATGAAATGTGTGATTAGTCCATCAATAGGGACAGTATGTGATTGTTCTTTGTTGGGCTTCTCAGGCATTTCCCCCGATCCGCAGCGCAGGGCATCGCTATAATTACATATATGCCACTCCATTGAAACGTGCCCTGAATTACATGTATTTATGGGTCACTTCGACAGGACAGAGGTGTATTTTTAAATTGGTCTGCATTTTTAAACTGGAAATGAAAATTCATTTCTGAAGCAGATGGCTACACATTTCGTATCTGAAATAATTTGTACAGCCCAACTGAATTCACAGAAAAGGGCAACTTGCATCCTGCTGCTCAAACTGATGCAGTTAAAACCTGCTCTAAGTCGTACATTACTTGAGACCCATTTCAAAAAAACATGGCATTAAGGGTATCAAGCTATTTGCAAAACGCTGCAATACAGGTAAGTTTAAATTCACTTGACTAAACGAGATTCCTGAGATCGAAATGCAACAAATCAGCATTTCCAAAATAGTGCTGACTGGCTAAATGTAGATCCTAATTCCTATTAGAAGTACATTTCATAACATGGAAAAGTTGATGCTGTCTTTTAGATTGCATCCACATGCTGGTGAAAAGATAGCTTCTTGAGACTTAGATTGCAGATGCAGAAAAGAATCAACACTGGTATTTTATTCCGATTCTGGACAGTCTCAGACGTGGCTTTAATTATACACCCTTGTTTTTTCTTTTTTTTGTGCATTTCTGACACTGTGGAAACAACTTAGTAGCTACATTCTGTGCTACTTAAGTACTTTTATTTATTATTTTTTTTAATTTCCCTCTCCTGTGTGCTGTCTCCAGGTAGTTGTGGAACACTACTGTATCACCTGAAGCACTAAGGAGGTATGGCATTTAGCAGGACTTGCAAGAGCAAGTTGCTTCACAGAGCTTCAGAAACTTAAGATCATAGATTTTAACATTAAGAGCTACATGCCTGAAGGCTCTTTTAAATGCTTCTCAAAATTAGAACTTAAAAGTCACCTCAATATTATTCCCTCAATCACATCGTATCTTAGTAAAAATAATTCCATGTAAATAAATTCCTGTAATACAGAGAAACAAAGCACGAATACTCCTGAAAGTTCCTGCAAATATATGGTAATTGGAAGCCATGCTATTGCTAGAAAAATCTGAATGTCTTCCTATCTGAGACCTCACCTAACCAGCACGGCTGTCAGCACAGGGGATGGATGCTGCAAGGAATGTCTCCAGTTGCTTCTTGGTGAGTTTGCTACAACAGAGGAACAAGAATTGGTGTGACAGCCTTTTAGGAGGATGAGCAGCAAGGGAAGAAAGAAGTCCATTAGATAATAAGCGGTACTTCAAATGTTTAATATGCTTTACTCAGTGTTGATTTAAAGTGGAAAATTTCCTGTGCGGCTGAGAAACAGAACCCTGATGGGCCATAACATTTGCACAACCCACGTCAACCTGATTACAGACAGCATCATGAGTCCTCCAATTCAGACAGCATTAAATTTGCTACAGTCAGGGAGAAAACGAGGCAGTTCAGAGCTCTACTTATCAACTACTCTGGCACTTTATAAGAGTATTTAATTCAATGTGCTGAAAGGAAGGACACTCTCAGTCGATTGCCTGAATTCTTTGTGATCACAGGGAAATTGGTGTTCAGCCTCAGCAGACATTGCAGTCATAGACACGAAACTTTGTTCTACAAGGAAAACACATCCATAGCCAAGACTTTGTACCGTATCCATCCCTGTACTTGTTATTTGCTCCAGTTCTCTGACATTCTTTGATTAATGTATGATTTTGTTCCATGTGTTTGCAGAGACCACAGCAGAATCGTGATCCAGCTAACAACGCAAACCTCGGGCAGCACTGTAACTTACACTGTACGTTTTGACGCTACTCTGCATGTCGTGGAAGGACCTGCTGATTTTCCCTTACCTCATGTACTTCCATTTAAAATAAACTGCC